TCGCTCTCGCTCTCTCGCTCTCGCTCTCGCTCTCTCGCTCTCTCGCTCTCTCTCACACACACACACACACACACACGTGCTCACTGGGAAGCATAGACGTGGACGAAGGAAAGGCCAGGCAGTTTGGGGTTTTCTCCCGTTGCAAAGAGCTACTTCTCATTCCCTCCAAACCATCTCCTCCACACCCAGCCAAGAAAGACCTCAGATCTCATAAAACTTAATGGCACAGCCCATTTCAACATGACACATTGTAACATAGACTTACATATATTTGCAGTGAAATCATGTCCCCATAAGAGAAAAGAGGAGAGACTGCCTTTAGCACGCAAGAGATTTAGTACTTCGTTGAATGGGCTTCTATCTGGTAGCTGGAAACAGCCCTCGTCCATTCCCACTGTGTTAGCCATTTGCCTTGTAGGATTTGGACTCGTTGCCTGAATTATTGAATCTGAGTAGCTGGGGTTTTGCCTCCAGGGAGTAGGTTGGATATTAAGTAAGAGAAGGAGGCATAGGCGAAATCATATATTCGGAACAACTCTGTTCTGAATATATGATCTGTGTTGAGATGGAGAGAGGAAGGTCATTCCCAAAGTCATATTTATGTAAACAAACAAGCGAAACCTTCCTTTCCTTTGAGACAAGTTTCCCAAGTTAGAGCGTGGGTTCTGAGGAACGCAGACCAAGTCTACGAGGCGGAAATGGGAAGGGAAAGGATCCCGGGACCAATGAGAGGGACTTTGTAGGGCCAAAGTGTCATCTCCGCATAGAGAGTCCCCATCTGCCCACCTGCACCCCATCAAAGTTGGGACAGCTCTGGATTTAGTGACAGAATCCTGCCAGCCCTGTCTCAGCCCACCAGGCCCCGGCGCCTCCTGCATCCCTGGACGAGCCCAGGCACCAAAAGTTGGTTCTCTGCTGACACCTGCTGGACCATCTCTGCATTGCCGCCTGGCGGTGCCCCCATCTTGTGCCAGCAACCTTGTTGCTTGAAAGCGGGCTCTTCCTTTTGCAAAAACGCGGGTTTCTAAAATTGGCTTAGACCAGCAGCTGTTTCTTCCCATGTTGCCGACCACATGGAAAGGTCCCGTGTTATGTGTTTAAAATCACCAGACGGGGTGAGGGAAGCTGTCGCCCCTCAGCAGTAACACCGTGCGATTTGCAGATCTCAAGGCCAGTCCACGTCTATTATCTCGCTTATTCTGTAACCGAACCCACTGTAAGGATGCGGAGGAGGTATCATCCTCCTGATCTGAGTGTAGGAAGCTGATCCTCAGAGAGGTTAAGTGGCTTGCCCGAGGCGACATAGCCAGGAAATCGTGTTCCAGGGAGCAGATGCTCTATTTTCTGACTCATCAGCCAGAGTCCTACCGCTCAGCCAGTTTTTGTAGGGGAACCAGTTTCTTCAGAGGGCAAACTCTCTGCCCGCAGTCAGAAGGTGAGCTGGCTTCAGGTCAGGGGCTGGAGAACAGAGTTGTGTTGAACCCAGAGAAGGTCACCACAACACTGATAAACAAGGACAGATTGGCGACCGTGTCATTAAGCTATGGCTAGAGGTATTAGGAAGACCCCAATGACAGTGGGGTGCACAGGTGTCTTTTCCTTCCCTCTCAGCAGCCGAGATTCCACTCCTGGAGGGTCTCCTCTTTGGAGGTGAGGCATCCTACTATAAAGTCAGGTATCTGATTCTTGTCACTGTGCAAACACTTGAGAACAAGGCAGGAGGAGGTGCCGAGAATTAGATACGGCCAAGGACACAGGTCTCTGTGGGTCGCAGACGGAGCCACGTGGGGAGATGGGGCATGGGTTTCTTGTGGGGCACGAAAGAGGGAGGTTGGAGGATGGCATTTTAGAGTTCCTCTCGGGTCTGTTCTCTATGCCCACAGAGTTCCAAATAACGAGAGGGGAGGAAGGATGGGTAACCCACACCCCGGAGCTCTGCCTTTCATTTACCCCCCACCAGCACCAAATAGCATGGTGGGATTTCAGTGCCCTATTGGATTACAAATAAGCATAAACGTTCACTTTTGAGGGTCAGAGCTAT